CAGCAGCAGCAGCAGCAGCAGCAGCAGCAGCAGCAGCAGCAGCAGCAGCAGCAGCAGCAGGAGCGGCAGCAGGAGGAGGAGAGGCAGCAGCAGCAGCAGCAGCAGAGGGAGCGGTGGGGGTTAGATATAGGGAAAGAAGGGGGAGGGAGAAGATATGCAGCAGCAACTGCAGCAGCAGCAGCAGCAGCAACAGCAGCAGCAGCAGCAGCAACAGCAGCAACAGCAGCAACAACAGCAAGAGCAACAGGAACTGCAGCAGCAACTACATCAGCAGCAGCAGCAGCTGCAGCAACAACAACAAAAACAACAACACCAACAACAACAACAACAACAGCAACACCAGCAGCAGCAGCAGCAGCACCAGCAGCACCAGCAGCAACAGCAGCAGCAGCAGCAGCAGCAGCAGCAGCAGCAGGATTACCTGCTGAAAGGGGTGTATTCGTTTGTCTGTGGAAGCAGCAAACCTGTTGAGGGCCCCCGGAGCAACCCCACCATCCTCCCCCCTGTGTAACACACGCACCTTCATCCTGCTGCTGCTGCTGCTGCTGCTGCTGCTGCTGCTGCTGCTGCTGCTGCTGCTGTTGCTGCTGCTGATGGGGATGGGGATGATCAGCAGGAGGATGGTGCTGATGGTGTTGATGCTGCTGCTGCTGCTGTTCTTGTTGCTGCTGCTGCTGCTATTCGTGTTGCTGCTGCTGCTGCTGCTGCTGGTGCTGCTGCTGCTGCTGGTGCTGAGCGATGTCTCCTGCTGGCAGGTTAGGGTTTAGGGTTTAGGGTTTAGGGTTTAGGGTTTGGAGGCCTAGCGGTGGACCTCTCAAGCCCTTACTCAGCTGCTAAAGAGATAACTAAAAACCCCAAACCCTAAACCCTAAACCCTAAACCCTAAACCCTAAACCCTAAACCCTAAACCCTGGAATCGAAGCGGAGGGCCCCCTGTGGGCCCTCAGGTGTACATGCAGCTCAACGCAGCAGTTTTTTTGTTTGTATATAAGCAGTAAAATATATAAATAAATAAAAAATAAAAATAAAAATAAAATATAATTTTTATTTCTTCTTTATTATAGAAGGCTGCTGCTGCTCCTGCTGCTGCTCTTCATATGCATGCGCACAGTTCGCTGCTGCTGCTGCTGCTGCTGCTGCTGCTGCTGCTGCTGTCCCGCTGCCCAAGCTGCTGCTGCTGCTGCTGCTGCTGCTGCTGCTGCTGCTGGGGTCTGGAGGAGCTGTCTTTTGTTAAATAAATTGAGAATGAAGGCAAACCCTAGCGAAATCCTAAACCCTAAACCCTAAACCCTAAACCCTAAACCCTAAACCCTCAGACACCGCAGCTACAGCGGCCTTATAGACATCATTGAGCCTGGGGGCCCTTGGGGGGCCTCAGGTGTACATACACCGCCAGTTGTCTGCTGCTGCTGCTGTTTGCTGCTGCTGCTCCTGCTGCTGCTGCTGCTGCAGGACCCTTTGGAACAGTAGCAGCTGCTGCAGCAACAACAGCAGCAGCAGCAGCAACGCAAACGACAGCAGCAGCAGCAGCAGCAGCAGCAACTGCAGCAGATATGCGACTTGCACAGCTTCTAGCTGCTGCTGCAGAGAGGAGACGATAAGCAGGGCCTCAGGAGCCAGCAGCAGCAGCTGCAGCTGCAACTGCAGCAGCAACCACAGCAGCAGCAGCAGCAGCAACAGCAGCAACAGCAACAGCAGCAACAGCAGCAGCAGCAGCAGCAGCATCTCAGGAGGCCCTTTGAGGCCCCAGTTCTTTCATTCTGCCGCTGTTAAGCAGCTGGCGTTGTCTGCTGCAGCAGCAACAGCAGCAACAGCAGCAGCAGAAGCAGCAGCAGCAGCAGTAGCAGCAGCAGCCGTTTCAGCAGCAAACTTGCTGCACCAGCAGCAGCAGCAGTAAAGGAAGACGCAGCAGCTGCTGCAGCAGCAACAACAGTAGCAGTAACAAAAGCAACAGCAGGCACAGCAACAGCAACTGCAGCAGCAATAGCAGCAGCAACAGCAGCAGCAGCAGCAGCAGCAGCAGCAGCAGTAGCAGCAGCAGCAGCAGAAGATGGGTAACACAGAGAGCGTGCCTAAGGTGCAGCAGCAGCTGGAGCTGCTGTCTTCATCAGAGCTGCAGCAGCAACCCGAGGTACACTTGCTGCTGCTGCTGCTGCTGCTGCTGCTGCTG